TTCACTCCTCAATTAGTTATCCTTTCCTAATTAAACATAGCTACAAGATGCAGTATCCTCCCTAACACATTACTTAATAAACAATTTAATCTTTATGATTAAAAAGATCTTAATATCACAAAAGTGAAAGCATGGACTAAAGAGAACCCCAGAAGCTACAAATAATCAGGATGGTTGATTCATTAACACACTTCTGCCTCGTCTACCTCCACTAACAAGTACTGTTTCAAAGAAATCACCAGCTTCCCAATGCTTATGAGTGAACATCATTGCCTTTTTAAGTAGTCTATAGCAGAAGTCTGGTACCCTGTGCCTAGACAAATAAATTTCAGTTGTGTGTGTTTTATGTACAAAAGAAAATACTTCCAAAGCAATAAGCATAGCTCAGCTTCACAGTTACCAATCTGGCTAAGTTTCTCTAGTCATTTTTTTAAAAAAGCAAACATACCTAACATCACGTTTTTATTAGTAAGGAATTTTATGTGTCATCACATTACTCTTTCATCAAGTTGTTTTACTTTTCTCCGAAGGTTTCTATAGAGTAGGCTAGTACTGATTAATGTAATTTAACCCTGGAACACAATGTGTTAAATAGTTTCCCTTATGTGCATTCCATGACGAAACTGATATGAAAACATTAATAAATATTCAGCACAAGAGCTGGTTAAAGAAAGCCTCTGGAATTCCAGGCTCATATACTTAATCCTATAACCTAAACTGCCTCTCTGTTTATTTATATGAGTTTACCGTGCAAATTATTTGGTTTGCCGTTTGTAATTGGAAGATACATTTACTTCAGAGCTCTAGAACTCAATTTCAAAATCAACAGTTCATATTAGAAGAAGAGAACCCTCAATATCTCTAAGTAGACCAGCTGACTGATGTTTGTAAGTCTACAGAATATTTCAGGCAAGCTTACAAAAATGCACTATCCTTCCCTTTCCTTTGCTCTGCCCTGAGTGCATTTGGTATGCCATGTTTTACTTTCTTTTTTTACAGCTTCTGCATTCACATACTCCTGTCACACCCCAAACCCTTCCTTAAAACCTCATTCCTACTGGCATGTTCAAGGAATTCCAGCCTGCAGACTCTGCTCTGCACTTACTGTGCCCAAAGAATGTGTATTGAAAGATGAGCTGGAAGAATGCCTTTACTGAAAAGAAACACTCTGCCAAGAATATTGGATCCTGTGTTCTTCTAATAATCTACAGCGCCTGAATTTCATTTGGATAAGGGATTAAAAGTGCTGCTTATAGTAATAATAATACATTAAGACAGCAAAGCGCTCTTAAGACTGAACCAACTATTCACACCTACCCAGATTCAATGGATTTCTACAGAAATGGTCTTGAATAGTTTTAAGAGTTTCTTGTTTCCATTCATGGACACACGGGTTTGCTTTGTTTTAGTTTTGTCATCAGTAACACAAGACTAATAAAGCACTGAACTTTCTTGTGTCAGCACAAAGTCAGATGACACAGAGGTGGGATCCTGGTTTTGTGTCCATGTTCACACGCCACTCTGATGAGGTTGTAAGCTCCAGGCCATGTTCACGAGCAGGAAGTGTCTCACCTCCACACCTAAGCCATCTTTTTATGTTGAGGTCTAAACCTCAGGCTCAGTGCAGGCTGCATTTGGCTGCTTCAGCAAGGACAAGAATAAGGGCAGGTCCCACCCACATGATTGGGATGGAGTCCTCCCACATGCTGTCCAACAGTACCACTCTGACAAGGTCTCCAAAATAAGAAAACACACCAGCAATTTGAATTTATTACTCACGATAAGAGTTCTTCATGAGAATGGGATTCCTTCTACGCCTGGTAAATACAGCACTTCTGAGAGAACTACGCCAAAGCAAAGAATTTGAAACAGAACTAGGACACAGAAACAAGAAAAGTTAACACTATTTATGATGCCTTCTGTTTCACCCAGGGGCACAATAAGAAACCTGACTGATGCATCCTAAGAGTCATTATTCAGGATGTATTGAACACAGATGCAACGCACACTAATCCCAGCAGACTTGTTTTGGGAAAGGAAACTTAAGCCAAAGTCAGCCATACAGAGATGACACTCTGCTCTTGCCACAGAGCTCTCTCCAAGGGACCAGACCTCAAAAAGTATCACACAGCTTAAGAACTATCTCTGGACACATAGGAATTAAGTATGAGAGACACAAGAAGTGTCTGTGAACTGCTCCCTGCCTGGAAGTGTTCAAGGACAGGTTGGATGAGGTTTTGAGCAATCTGGTCTAGTGGAAGGTGCCTCTGCTCATGGCAGGGGGGTTGGAACTAGATTATCTTTAAGGTCTCTTCCAACCCAAACCATTCTATGATTCCATGTTATTGAGGAAGAAAGCAATTTTGATTCAGCAAAGTGAAGCGGTAAAGACACGCAACTCTACAGCCTACCAGACTTAGTCCTTCAGGAAGCCCCCTCAGAAAGCAAGACAAATGAGAATAAACAAATACCTGTTTCAAAGAGGTAACAACTCAAGTATAACAAGAGTTAAGGATACAAAAAGTGCAACAGCTGAATACACATGGGGCAGGCAGGGTAACAGAAGCAATGAGGAGCATTTTCATAAATAGGTCAATCACAGTCAAGTTTTTGCAGGTGTGAAAAAAGAAAAAATGCATTTTAGAGGGAGTTTGAGAGGAGGAAAATGAGTTAGCATTACAGATGTTCATGTCCATGACATGCAGCTTCTGTCTGAGATTACACAGATGAAGGAGTGAAATGTAGGTTTGATTGCCTGTCAAATACGAAGCTACAAAACCCTTTAGCAGCAATAGTCTGAAGAGATACAAACCAGGCCAGATTACAGTTGCCAAAGCCAAAACAACGATGTTGCAGTAACCAGGATGCAAAATCTGTAACAGCTTTGATGAAAACTCAGCATTATGTCCAGACAGGAAAAGCTGTCATGCAGACAGAATTAGCAGGATTTTGATAGGCTGGATGGAAAGAGAGAGGAAGAACTGTGAGCTGAAGGGAACACCCAGATTACTCATTCAAATGAGAAAGCAGCACAGCAGCTGGAAGCGAATCTCACGGGAGCCCTTGGGCAGATTAAGAGTTCCAGGTTAGCAATGTTTTGTTTAAGGCAAGACAGAGATGAGGGGATGTCAGGGTTGCACTGAGATTGTAGGCTGTACCAAAGCTGATGGATGTTGAGTGCAGAAGCAGATCTACAACACTTCCTACTTGATTTCATTAATTCCATGCAATATTAAGCTTTGCCTAGACAAATACCTAACCATTGCAGAATGGCTGGGCTTTATGTCCTGGTCTAATGACTGAAGTTCGTATCTTTGTTCTCTTAGAGCTACATTACTTGCCACAGATTACTCAAGCAAATTTCCACAGCTCACTAACATTTCCCACTAGTTAAGTCTCAGCTTAGACTAGTGGTTGTACTTCAGTGTGGTTCCAGTAACAAAGTTTCTACCACTGCCTTTTCATACTTCTCTCTCCTTGATACCCTGATTACTCTTATGCCAACTATCTCTCATTTCATGATGCTTGCATGTTCCAACAGCTAGCAACAAGGGCTGCAACTTCTGATCCGTCTGTACATACTGTTTGAGGGACATGTTGGATCCAGCAACAGGAATCTGAAAGACTGAACAGCAATTAAGAACTCCCTGCTTTCTGTACTTCTTTCTTCATCCCCATTACTTTAAAAAAATCAACCGTGTGTCAAGTAAACATAAATTACTTCCCTAAACTCTTACATTTTCCTGCAATTGATCACACACCCCGAGTTAAAAGACTTGTCAGTCCTTGCTATTTATCAAGCTTGTCGATAGAAGTACACAATTACAGACACAACCACAGACACAGACACTAATTAACAACATTCCATTGTGCCACAAATGAGAAATGCCAAAAGATCTACCTTTACCCTGCCCTTCTCCTTGCACAGCTCCCGGTTCACGAGCACACATGCACACAGACAGCAGGCAGACAACAATATACAAAGATAATGAATGGGTCTCTAGTGTTTCAGATTTACCTACAACCGTGTCGTTCCATCAGAACTTTAAGAGTGTTTTGCTTCTGGCACTAGCATTAGCAATCCCACAATAAAGACTGTTAAGAAAAATGTTGCTCAACATTAGAGATAGTTAGAAACAGAGTTAGAAAAATCTGGGTGCTTCCCAGCAGCGCTCTGCAAATTACTCATGACTACTAGATATTGTATAAACTGTGTATCGTGTGGCTGCTGCCAATGGGTTACGCAAGCCTCTGTCCAAAAATAAATAAAACAAAGTGAAAAATGGAATATCCTGAGGAACAGAAGAAAGTGTGCATCCTGTGTATTAAAGATGCAAACTGAATTTTAAATAAAGGACGTGCATATGGAAAGTGCAGATATTTGGGGAGCCTGGGAGGAAAGGGTTAAATGCAGATAAACCTCTGAGTGGTGAAAATAACGTTTGAATTTAATTTTATATCCAGACTATCCGGTTCACAGTCCTTTCATTCCTACTGTGGGAAAATGGGAACAGGAAAAAAAGTCCCACTGAGGAGGCTCTTTGCTTTCCCCCCTCTTCCTTTTTTTTTTAAAAAAAAAAAAAAAAAAAAAAATCTTTAAAAGTCTGTGATGACCTAAAGAAAATAACAAAACAAAACTGTGTCCAGTATTTTAAAATCAGCTTTCCCTTGGGTCTCAAAAGTGCATCTGTTTCATGTGCCCTGAATTCCACAGGAATATAGTGTACAAGATGACTAAAACATCAGTCTGCAATGAGGGACAGCAATATATAAAAGTAAATAGAAAGAAAAAGGCATTTAAGAGCATATCGACTTATGCTTATGACTTAAAGCTACCACTTAGTAGAGTTAACTTCTCTTTCAATGTTTCTAGTGTGACCATTTTCTAGACCATTTTTCTACAGTTTATACTAGAGCTAATTGTCCCAAATACAGTTTATCATTTAGCTTATCAGCTAAGGCTTTAAAGAGGCATTTATACACTCAACCTGTAATCTTACCTTGTAGGCAGCTTGTCTCATAAACTGCTTTGCAGGCTGCTTCCAAATAGCAGGCACTGTAATAACCCATCTCACTTCAGTGTTTTCAAAATCTGAGCCTCCTTGGTCACTGAGCTCCTAAATAAAAGGAAAATAGAGGTGAATGCAAAATGATGGGTGTCAACTGTATAAGAAAACATTATTTTCCACTGGCTGCAGTAACAGTAACTTTCTCTTTTCAATTTTTTTTTGCTGTTACTTCTATGCTACAAATCAGAATTATTGCCAACCTGTCAAGAATGCTTTACTGTGCCAAAAGCTGGGATTAGGGTTGATGCCTTCTAAAGGAGGCCTACAGAAAAGTTTACTGCTTAACATAGAAAAGTTAGTTTTTCCAAAAGCAGCTCGTGCACTGATGAATATTATAGAATCTTTATGTACATTCTTAGTCACAGTGTGGTTTTTGCTGTTAGCTCGAAGAATTCACACTTCCACCTTGATTAAAACACAGAAAAATATTTGAGGTATCATTGACAAACATTACGTTTTACAATCTGGATTTTTCAATGACTTCTTTATATATCACTTACCTTTAAATCAAATTTTTACAACTCAGTTAACAAGGGGAAGTTACTTTTAAACCCTTTAAAAAATGACTGATTGCTCCTTGAAAATTTTGCTTCAAGCAAACACTTAAGACTACTTTAGCTCTTTTATTGTCCTTTTTTTTCCCCTCCTAAAAAGAGGAAAGTCTGTATTGCATTTGCAAATTAGGTGATATACTGACATGTTTTGGGAAAGGTTCCAAGTAAAATGTCACTACCATATGTCCTATCTAAATTTCCATCCAAACAGGGAAAGGTTCAGAAAGGTGAACAACGGGCCTTCAGAATGTAAAAAAATGTTTCTGCATGTGCTGTGCCAAGGTGTTGTGTTTGTTTAGCTATGCTGCAGCTGAAAAATCCATGCTAGAAAAGTAATACCTTTATACTGCACAGGGCACTAGGACTGGACGGATTATAGTCTAAAGTAACAGTTAATTTACATCACTTGTCTAATTAGTTTCAGCATGAACTCACAAGTCACAGAGATTTATTTATTAACATCAAGAAAGGATGTAGACCTGAACAAGCAGCAGAGTAAATATACAGGATTGTATCCAACAACGTTCCTATTTACTGAGAATTTCCCCAGACTATGAGCAGGTCCAGGTCTGTGACTCCACAATCAGCTCCAAAATCTAGTTAAATACAGTCTTTGACAAGATGAGAATTTTGAGTTGTAACGATGGGATTATTTCTCTGTCACCATAAAGAATAGAATGAGATCTCACAGAGAATAAATTAAACCCATTCAAAAAAGTAGGTTGTTTTTTTTAACAAGGTTATTTTAAACAATGCTTGCTTAAATGAAGATTCTGATCTGACCCAGCAACTTCTATGCTTATGTTGACGTTACAGTGGTGCATTGGAAGCCAATGTGTACTTAAGTCACATTTGACTGTTTACACGAGATTTTACATCTCAAAAACTGTTTACTGGGGACATGTATTTCACAGGAGAATACAAAAAAAAAAACAAACAACTTGTGATCCAAGAAGAATGTTACAAGAAATTAGTATTGTAACTTTTCAAATGGGAAATGGAAAATAAAATGCATTTGCTCTACCAACACAAGCCACAGTAAGGGGTCGGGGGGGAAAGCAGCAACATAAATGGAGGCAGTACATGAGAACACAGTATGAATTTACAAATTAAACTCCAACAGATGTCTGTCTTACTTTTTGGTTCTCCTTAATGCTTGTTAGATTTTCCACATAAATGTGCATTCAGGATCAGGGCAACCAAATACCATCTCATAGCACAACAACATGAAATTCATTCCTGGAAAGGATCAACACAGGGCCAAAATACCATAGCCTAATCGGGGCTCTTTGGCACACATGCTACAGTTTAACTGTGTGAAAGAGAATAAAGGAGTGTTGTGCACAGGTAGTTAAGTTGGTTTGGACAACAGAGGCTATATTTCTGTGCTAGTGCAGAATTCCACGTAGGTGAATAGACTGAACCTCTCAGTGCAATCAAGTGGCCTGTACAGATCACTGCACTGGCATAATTACACTAATTCCACTAGGTTAGCTGGCTTGCTCACTTCAGCAGGTCATCTTTGTACAGACTTACAGTGAGACTCAAACCACCAAATTGTAAATGAGCTTTTAATAATCTTTCTATTACAAAATAAATCCAGCTCATCTGACTCCCTTTGCTTAATCAGTGAAGATAAAGATTGAGACAGGAGACTGGTACCAGTAGGTGCCTACCCTATTGTGTTTCACAGTGTTAACTCTTCAACATGAGAGAGAATCTTGTGTGAAGACAGAACAATCCATCATCCCAGCAGCAGAAGTGTAGGGGACAAGGACATGACCCAGTCTCAAATTTAATTCCTGAGCTTTAGCTCCTTCACTTTTACATTTTCTTTTCAAATCAACGTTTTTTTCATTAAAAACAGCAGTAGAAAATATTTAAGCCAGTAAGAAGATATTCAGAACTCTACATCTTGGTGATATACTTACTATTATTGAATCTAGCTTCGCCTGTGTAAGGGGAAATCACTTGAGGCTATTGTGAGCTCTCTAGAGTCCACAGCCTGCCTGGAGTTTCTACAGCTGCCTTGTTTTGTTTACATCAAATACTACTGAGGTCAAAGCTTGGCAAGGTTAGAAGTGTTAGGCCCACATTTATACCAATTATAAATGCAGAAAATCTAGATAAGGAAGCATTATCCTACCTTTAATGCCTGCTCCTTAAAGTATTGCAGAGCGTAAGCAAATATCTCAAGTGCTTTGACTTTTTTGCCATTTGCAGCTGTCAGGTCTGTCTCCATGGTAAGATTCTACATGAAAGAAAATAACTGGAAGTTATTAAAAGGAAAAGGTAAACAAGAAATTAATTCCCACTGCTTGAGGAAAGGGAATTCTTCATTATCCACCTGGTTAGGAAAAAGTGACAAAATTGTTCTGAAGAGGACCTAACTCATCACTCGAATTTCCTGAAACATGACATTTGCTGCTTATTTTAGACTTTGTTTTTAAACACCCACCACGTCTGCAGATAACTGCAGGCAGAGAGAGTGGACTAAACATTAAATAATTACAATAAATGTATCTCTAATTAATTGCATCAAAGCTGCATAAGCAAGATATTTAATCCAAGATAAGAGTTAAAAGCACAGATTTTTGGCTTCCTACCAACATATGAAACCAGAAAACACCTCAATATAGAAAGTCCTGGCCAAGTCCCAAAACTCTAGAATGGCTTAAAGACAAAAATGTAATCAGTAGGAATAATTTCAAATTAACAACATGATTTGCACTTGCAGTTTTGACAATAAACTCTGGGTAAATTTACTCCTCTGTGCTAGAGTTCAGTACAGCTCTTACATTCCATTTCTGCTTTCTGAGTAAATTTATAAAACAAATCAACCTCAGGCAGACTCCCTAGACAGCTATGGATTTCACCCAGGAAAATTAGGACATGAAGATCTCAGGAAAGCCGATATTGAACTTCTAAGATCTAGAAAGAAGGCTGGCAAAATGCACTTGCCAAATGCAGTGAGAAGCAAAATGAATCATAATGTTAACCCAAGAGTTAAATTTACTTTATTTACTCTCTACACTTAGAAACAGAACTACTTCACATCTAGTTGATAATCTTAAGACAAAAATCTAGTAGTGTCCACAGGAAGATAATTTGAGTAGCAAATGCACAATCAACCAAGAGAACTGCTTATTACTTACACCAGTAGTATGTAGCTTCATCTTAAACTTTTCAAAATACAACCAGTGCTTTGATTCAGTGGGATCCAAGTCATGGTAGAAATCTCTTGCTGCATACCCAAAGCTATGAAATTTTCTCTCTGGCGTTAGGAGAATAGTAGTTGGTGTCTTCTGATTGGAGACGCCAGGATCTCCACCTTCCCATCGTCTATCCAACAAGTGAAACAGCTTCAGTCAGTGATACTAATGTTTAGAGCAGCAGAAAAAACAGTATATCATGAGAAAACAATCTGCTGACAGATTGCACGCACCACTTTGCCCTGCAAAAATACTAATTTCAATCCTTATAATACCAAAAACAAGTGTTTTTATTAATATCCAAGAAAAGAGAACTGTAATTTTCATTTCAGAGAATTCAATAAATTTTGCAGTTAGTTGTATAACGTTTAATAACATAATCATACTGTCTTTGATAAGAATATAGGTTCCCTGAAGTAAGCCACACACAATTAACAAGGAAACAGTATTACACTTGCATTTGCAAATTAAACATACATATGTAATAAATACTGTAAGGAAAAAAAAAAAAATCAAGTAATTATCCAAGAACACAATGAATGAAAACCCAAATCTTCAAAATGGCCTACACAATTGTCAATCAGACTCCATGAATGCTTCCTTGTACAGGATTTTTTTTTTCCCCATTTTGAATTAGGGACCTGTTTAAATCAGCTGAACACCACTGTAGAGAAGTTGATTAAATCCCTGCTTCTGTCACAGAATGCTCTCTAAAGCAAGATAAGCCAGTTCAACCAACACCTCTCCACGTGCTTGATTTCTCAGACACCTGAAACTCTGAAGACACGTCTGCAGATGTTGAGTTCTCTTCACTGCACTTTGTACTCACCTGAAGTTGATAGATTTTGTGTTTTAAATGCCCAAAAATGTTGTAAAAATTTTAGTCTGTCAAAAATGAGGCAGACTCCTCCCAACCCCCAAGTATCTTATAAAAACTGAACCATTTCTCTCATCACCATCCATTAAATTGGTGAATAAAACTATTCTACCTTATCAAGATTGTGAAGGCATCTTCAGGAAGATCCAAGAAGCACAAAGGTATTAAGATGAAAGCAACATAAGGCTTCTTTCATAGAATGGATAAGGAAATAAGTAAGAATGCTGAATATGGGAACAACCATTAAACACAGCTGGAACTGAGCGTGGGGGGAACGGTGGGACAGCAAGGTCAGACAGTAGAAAGTTGTACCAGAAAGAGAGCTGTGAGCATTCTTGTCTTCTCCATCACAAAAAAAGCAGAATGGAAGAACAAGAAATTGGCATTAGTGTTCCTCCTCACCCCATATACAAGTACTTTCAGCATGGGAAACAAACACTTACCAGAAAACATTTTCTTAAAATGGCATCAGTGGAAAATCTGCTTTATGCTATCAGACATAATCATAATGCAGCTCAAACAGGAGCCAAGTTAAGATCACTCAGGCAACTGCATTCATTATTAAACCACATGTTGATTGCTTTCTTCTAAAGATAGCAAAACACACTTTCATAAGATATTACTGCCAAAGTCCTTGTTCAGAAGCACAAAAAGATTGCCTTGTTCCTTGCTACTTGTTTACGTGACATAAGAAGATTATGTACAAAAAAAAAAAATCTTCTTTCCCATTTCACACTCAGAAACAGTTGAACCAATTGAAAATTAATTGACCTCCAGACCAAAGCAGACAATTGACATGGAAAACTGTAATCTAAGGGGTTAATACTTGGCAAAGTAACAAGGAACGGGATCTTCTAAAGTGCTGGGAACCCTTCAGATCATTCAACTAGAATGAACAGAGCAAAATCTACCCTTTTTTGCATCATCAGCAGCAATGGTAGGGAACCATGTGTCTATGAAGTCACTGCAGTGCAGACGGCAGTTCCATTGCTCTGAAAGCAGAAACAGCGTAATGAGAAGAGGAATGTTTCCCACTTTCAAATTCTTGGAAAAACTCTCCTAAACCTCTCTAGTCCCACTGCTCAGCCCCTGAGCTATTATCAGCTAGCAAGGGCTCTGCTCCAGGTCATTTCTTCTGACTTGTTGCTAGAGATGTACTCGGTCAACTCCAAAATCTTTGAGTAGGTGTTCCAGCAAACATATGGCTCCAACGTGTAGAAGCTGGGATCTCACAGCTCATGAACACAAAACACTGCCTATTTTATCAAAATGTAAATCCCACACACTCGCTGCAAGCAGAGAGGAGACACACTGGTATCGTTTTCGCTTGGAATTATTAATGATTCATTCTGAGTCACTGGTGGGAAATTCCATAAATAGGATGTGGCTAATAACAATACTTCTTTCTTTTTCTTTATGGCTAGGCACATTTTCTCTTTCCGGGATAAGTACACTTCAGATGCAGTTTAAATGAAGACAAATTGATGCTCAGTGGTATGAGCTGAAATTTTCAAAGCCACCTAGAGAACTGGATATTCACTTGCTGATGAATTTCTGATGGAAACTAGACACGGTAATTGCTCAGCAAGTTCTAAAGTTCTCAGCCTGTATTACTGTTCTGTCTCAGAAAGAGCAATAAGGACACAGAAGGGGAAGTCCGACTTTACTATTTGCAATCAGACCTTTAAAAATATTCCTGTGTGACATCTTTTCTAGAGAGAAGCACCTGCAGTCAAAGGCACGTGCATGGTAACTCCTGACCACAACCCTCTTCTCAGGTGGAGCCCTAGCTTCACTCCAGTCAGGAGGGCTAGGATTTCAACACTTTCATTTGCAGCTTTCTTTCATGGTCCAAGTATTAGAAATGATGGTAATAATGCTCTTAGGGGAAAAAAAGAAAAAAAAAAAGTCTATTAAGAGCATGGCCTAATACAAGTCAGCAGTACTCTAATAAACATGGGGGATATTTTCTCAAAGCAAAGCCAGAGCTTAAAATGTATTCAAGCAGAACCCAAAGTAGATTTCTGCCTAAATTCAGACAGACGAGACCAGTTCCTAGGTTGATATAAAGCGGAGCAGCTCAGCAGTGCAGTGTAGACTGGTTTATAGCCACAGAGGATCTGACTGTATATTAAAACTGAAAATAGAGACAAGAGGAAAGTTAGTGTGGAAAGGATCACAAGGTTATACTAAGGTTAGAGAAGTGCCCTTCCTTACACATGGACCTGGCTAACACACAGAGCAAAGAGAGTGATCCGTGCAGAGTGATGAGAATTTGATCCAGAGCTGCAGCATAACAGTCAAGGAAACAAAGCAGTGGGGTCATCAAAACGCAGCCGAATGCCACCAGGAGTGTGTATGCAGAAGAAGGGCAAGCATGTGTCTGCCAAGAATTACAATCAAACAGGGAGGAGATGGAAAAGGAAAAATCTGAAGGTTGAAGTAAAGTTACACTGAAAAAAGACCACATTCTCCCTCCTTCCAAAGACAGGTTGTAATTTGTTTCATAATCACATGTGGTTTTCCATTTATTTTTCTCCATTTGTGAAATAATCACATTCAGTTTGTTGCTATTTAAAACATTTATAACTTCACATAAGTGCATATCAATCAACAGGAGTTTTTCAAAACTGTGTAAGATCTCATGTATTCCCATCAAAGGAGACATTATTAACTCATTCTACAGCACCAAATTGTCTGATTACAGCTCTGGCACTGCCCTGCCTGCCGAAGTGCTTGCTGAACTCATGGCAAGGCTGTTCATATCCATTTACTCAAAGTCTCAAGGTACGGAAAAAATAGCACTTATTGTGACACGTACTTCTTTCTACTCTGCCACAGGAGCCTGAAGGTAACCACAACTATCTTTACAGAAGCCATGGGGAACTAGCAAGAGTTGACAGGTGTGAAATATTACCTACAATTGATAAAACAGTCACTAATGTTACACAATCAAGGTAAAGTCATCCATCGATCATCTAGAAACACACGCCCAACTCCAAACACATGCTTTATTCTACTGAAGTGAGTGAGGGTACTCATACATTTAAAGCTAAGTATATGCTTGAAGAACTTTGTTAGGTCAATCTCTATAAATTCTTTTTTTTAAAGAACTGGGCATCACAGCCAATAAACACACAGTCAAAAACATGACATACTTTGTCTAGTAATTACACAACTATAATCACAACTTTGCTGACACTACAGTCAAATTTGGTACTAAAGCCCTGTGTGTTCACCCTCTCCTGAAGCAGGACCTTCTAAATAAACCCATCTTAGGCTTCATTCAGACATTTACAGAAAAGCAGCTTTGTTAAAAAGCAGTCAGAAATCTAAATGTCTGGAAAGGATCAACACTAAAGAGGGAAGGTAGAAAAAATGTTAGGAAGCAAAGAGGACCATGCATCACTGGTATGCTTTATTTTAGTGTAAACATTCTCGAGTGAGGGTGGGAAGTTACATATACTCTGCTGAAATATTTGTAAATTATCCTACATGTAAGCCTCATTATATACAGAGTTTGAACCTCTTAATACCTTCTGAACTACTGAAGCCTTATTTTGATATATATACACCATTCTTTACATGTGAATTTCATCATTTAATTATATATATAAATATTATATACATTATTTCATAATTCAGTTTCAGCTCTATCTTCCCTTAAATCCTTCCCTGTCAGTAATATTTATTTATGGGGCAGGGGCCATTGCTAGTATGAAAATATTTTCCATTGTTTGAAATACCTGTTGGAAGCCTGCATAGATCCCCGCCCCCCCTCCAAATAAAAAGTTCCTCCCTTCTTGCTGGAAATGGAAATAGATGAATTAATTTCTTTAATTTCTTTTTATAACAGTATGTTACATAATATCTACACAGGTCTGAAATCACAATCATGCTAACATTATTGCACAAGGAACAAAATATGGTGTTTTGAACTGTAAGAAATAAAATGTCAATCAAGATTTGGAACATACTCTCAGCTGGCCACATGGCACCTAGATTCCAGTGTCTCAGTGAAAGGGACAGAAGGAAATCTGGTACCCTCGAAGGAGAATCTAGTCTGTAATTTATCTAGTCTGTGTAGTGTGAATCAAACAGCAAGTCCTAAGGTAAAATTTTAGTCCAAAGTGCTTAAAGGATATCCATAGAAACAGCAGTGATTTCACATAATAAAATCACACAAATTATAGGAACAGCACAGTATATAGGATTTAGGCTTGCTCAAGAACAGCTTCAGAGATGTCTTCCCTTGTTGCATCCACCTTCTTTAAGAAATTTGATTAATTATTTGCTGTCAAAAGAGAACGGGAATTGATAAACGTGGGTTTTGACTTGACAACCCTGTAACCTGGCTGAGACAGCAACACGCAGCCTGCCCTTTGACTTCAAGCACCGTGCAGCTTCCTGTGCTGTTCAGAGAACAATAGATGGATGGGATGCAGAGAAGGCCTTGAAGCACTACTGGTCTGTACTGAAAATGGTATGTATCTTTGCAAATGGATGGTGTAAGACCATTCCAAACTTACCTCCCTTTAGACAGCATTTCAAATCACTCAGTTGCCTCAGATCTCTGAAATACTTTGCGACCGTATACAAACCAGCTACGCAGACTGACTGCACTATCAATACTGTCTGCTGAGATTTAGAGAGCTGCACTCAGCTAGCATCTCTGACAGGAAAAATTACAGTATAGCACACTGGAATACAAGAAGTTAGTCTTTTTGCCCTTTTGTTCTGTTTTACAGCACTAAAATAATACATTACTACTGCTATAACAGCAGCTTTGTTTAGAAGAACTTATATGACTAAGCTTTTCACACATATCTTGTTTATGTCTGAAATTATCTATACCTTGGTCTTGTTACATTATAGGAACTGTAAAGATAATTTAATAAGAATTGTACAGGGTATTTATTATAAAAAAAACGTTTTACAAAACACTATAAAACACTATAAAAATAGTCTCTAGGGCACCCTATTCAGGTACCTACTGTAATAGTGATTGCATTAGATTTCTATGCATAGATTTATATTGTATTGATTTAATTAATAAAAAAATAAAAAAACTACATAACAGCATCTAAAGTCTGTCCCTTACATACACATAATAGAGAACAGATCTCACATCAAAATGTAATTTTCACATTCAAGCCTTTTGATTGCTTATGTTCCACTAACACTGGCTTATTATCAGATATTTGATTCAAATTTAATGCTAAAAAGCTTAAATCAGCCAAATGAACTACCAGTTTCTGGGTGCAAGTAACTAAGTGTCGTACACAACTGTATACAAGCATGATTCCAGTGGACAGGCAGCTTCTGGGAAGTGTTATGACCCTTAATGAATGGGTAGTTTCTCTCAATCTCTGCGATAAGGGCATCCTGACTTACTAATTATCGCTGCTCCCTGAATTCTAAATACTCACTGATCCCTCCTTTTACTCATGTCATCTGGTAAAAATCAAAATCATCAAAATAACAGAGAGAGGTTGTGTTCACATCAATTAAAATCAATAATAGCAAATTAGAATACAACAAGATACAAAAAAACCTATAACCATGAGAAAGTTGTACACTGTGGCAACACTAGACAAATATAGACACTTTAGGCTCCTGCAGAAAATATCTATAGCTACTGCAGACAATCTGTGTTATCGTGATCGAAAACTAAATGCTGCATTGCAGCCCTTACCTCATTACATGAATACATTCTGGTTCCTTGGTGAAGCTGTAGGCGTAGCCACTGGATGTTGTGCCAAAATCAATAGCCACAACAACAAGAAATAACTGTTCTACAGCATCATTGGCATCAGAGTCCTTCTGTTAAATAGCAGAAGCAAAACAGACACTGAGTCACTGATTAGAGAAACTGGAAGCTGTCTTACCCTTCAGTATTTCTGCTCTCCAAGACACATGTATCTCTTCAGTGGAAATAAGACTTCCCTAAAACTGCATTTATGACCAAAGTTGGTATAAGAAAGCTCCACGTTCCAATGGAAGTGGAAATTCAATATACAATTCAATCAGTATATTTGCTTGAGCTTTTATACATAACCTTCTGAATCAACAGTTTCCTTCATACTAATTTCTTGGAATAGCTCTTATCCTGTATCACTAAAACTTATAGCTCAACACTAGGTTATTGGCTTTGGGGCTCAATTGTTTTGATCAACTGAAGAATATGTTTATCTCCACCAATGTGGTATATTTAGGATCTATTTGGTGGTTTTAGGAGTTACCTATGTCATAACCTTCAACATAAGGTACTACTAACATTCAAAACTAGTGGAGGCAGAACACCCCAAAATACAGCAAGAAGCTTCATATTCCACAATAATTATTTATTTATGAAGAATTTATGTAA